GATAATCAAAGTTTCCATTAGCCTGTCCATACTCTATAGAGGTCCTATAGGACCACTATAGGGTCTCTATAGGACCATTATAGAGTATGGACAGACTAAAGTTCTCATTCTTAAATGGACTGAGCCAATGTTGCGCTGTATAAATGGTCAGTACATCGTTGCCCGTCGTGCTGCATATGTTGCTTGCTGTACGGTCCAAAACGGAATTTATGAAGTAAAAGCACTCGGAGCTCTCTACGAGTAATCTCCAGTTCTAATTCGAAACTAGCCTCTTTACCGGTAGTATTGTTGTTGTTCGCAAAATATTCGTGCTCCCTATATATAAACCCTAGGTATGGCAACTTCTGGAAGCTTTGCGAATATTTTAGAGGATTACAAAAAAAAACGCCAGAACTTTGTTGACAAAGTATAAAATTTAGATTCAGAAAATATTAAAATGATAACTGGCTAAGGTATTGAAAAAGAGCACATTTGAAATCGAAAACTTGGCTGAAATATCCATTTTTCCATATTTTCTTGATTTCTCTCTTATTTAGCATTGAATACTAGACTTTTTTATAGCCAAAATGATCAGGTCAAAAATTTTATAAAATGAACCTATTTGACAAGAAGTTGAAAATACTTTTGTAAATCATGGGAAAAAGCTGGAGGAAATACCCTGGATACCTGTTTTGTACTGCAGACATTTCTTGTGTACAGATAATAATTAAATCGGAAACATGTTCAAGAGATAATGGTAATAATATATCACGCATATCATTAAGTATACGTTCTTTTTGTTGAGCTGCTTGTTGAGTTGTCGGTGTAATATTTTGTTGATATAATTTTTCTGCTTCACATGTATTCCATGTTGCCATCATTATAGTAAACAATTGTCCATTTTGAAAAGATGTAGAAGTATCATTTGCAATATTTTTTGGTAGTTGTTGTCCAGATCCAACAAGATAATATCTATCAAAAAATAGAAATTCTATTTAACATAAAAAGAAAGAATAATAATAATAATATGTATTTTTACCCTTTTCGAGCATCTTGTGTTGTGAGTAAGTGAAAATGAGGAAATGCTTGTAGAACTGGTGCACTAATTCGACGATGGGTATGGTGTTGTGTATTATGTATCGGTTCAACGACATATTGTAGATCTGCTAATGGAGTACTATCGTTTGGTGCATTGATAGTACTATTATTCTCGGATTCTTCTGCAACTGTTGCCGCGGAAAAGGAAGCTCCACGACTTTCTAGTTGATTATTCTCAATTTCATCTGTCATTTTTATTCTTTATCTATGTATATAAGTTTAAATAGAAGAGAATGTGGGTGCGAAGGCACGACAACACACACACCCTCACTCACCAAGTCTTCCCACACCTACACCCATATCCTTCTTTGATTTCGAACCTTCATTTTGCTCCAACACCGATCACTATCGAAGGAGATTAGAAATGATTTTACGATTCTTGCAGACAGACACAAAGAAAATAGTTTACACCGGCATGTCTTGCAAAAAACAAGAGCTTATCTTCTTTTACTAGGTCATCTATTGGCTTCAATTAGTTTTATCGCGTTCATGGTTTAATACGCGTTTTAATGTAAAAGTTTATATTTAAAATTGTGCTTTGATGGAATGATTTCTAAAGATAGTTTTGCCGGATTAAGCTTCAACTAATTTGCTGTTATTTTAAAGGTAGATTTACCGTGCCTTTTCGAATATGCCAATTCAGATGTTCTAGAAGAAGGAATTTTTGTCGATTCATCACATATTC